GTAAACGTCATGCTTAATCTCTCTATTACCTCTGAATTTGTGTTCTTTTCTTCTAATCCTAACTAAATCATCACACAAAAATAGATAGATGTCTCCTATTCACCGCAAATACAAATATTTTCACTCTACTGTATAGACAGCTGAAGACAGACGGCAACTGATGTTTCATTTTTGCCGTTTGCCATATGACGTAACGTCATGCTCTCTATTCGCACGGTTGCGGGAAATCATATCATTTTGAGTTTTTGCGAGTTTTTGTGGCGGTCATTCAAACAGAGTTAAGAAGCTCAGAGCTCTGAGCGGCAACTTTATCTTGCTTGAAGCTTTTCCCTTAACAAAAGATTGCATTTATGTCTAGAAGTCAATGTGATCTGTTGTCGAGATCTTGTGGTCTTTGTGAGGAGATCGATACACGCTTATTAAGCTAACATAACGTAAAGAATTTGTTACGTACTGTTAAAGATCGGCTATGATGAGGATCGTCCTACTAGTAGGGCGGTTTCGGTTTTTAGGAGAGAGCTAAAGCGGTCTACGGTTTCGAAGGAACAAAATATGGCGGTTTGATAGACCCTCTTTGAACGATCTGACTAATTTAATTACACTTAGATTTTCAATCAACCGAAAAGATCGATCGGTTGTTTAGAGCTTACTTATTATTGTTATAGGGCTTTAGGAAAAGATGGTTCACCCTAGACGGACAGGATTTAACATATTTTAAAGCAGCTGAGAAAACGGTAAGAGCATAATATAACCTCGATCTTCACTCGAGAAAGAGTTCTGAGAATCAGACCTTGAAAAAAGAATCCGTAATCTTACGCTGTTTGTTTCTTCTTTGCAGGAAGAGAATTATCTTGGAACTATCAATTTTAGCGAGGTGAATTATGTTAACTACGCTAACATATAGATTTAACCTAACCTAGAAGCGGTGCAGCACGCTAATTTATTTAGCCCTTCAAGTGAACTCTGAATTTACTTGATGGTACCATGTTCAGGCCCCTAGCTAGCTACACTACTCTCTCTTATTATTTTAGGTATGGCTCCTGGTACAATTAAGTTCAGCTCGCGAACGCGTAGTGTGAATAGCGCACGGATACGTACGTACATACGCCGTACGGACAATCACTTGACAACCAAATTTTCGTAGGCATGGGGCTCCACTTGTGCGCCTTTGGCCTTGGGCACGCAAGAGCGCAGCGTAGGGAACCTACAGTGCCCAAATGAGCGCGAGGGTTCCTTATGAGCTCTGCTATAATCGGAACAAGTTCAGTCGAGAATAAATAAACCATAACCGTTTTCTCCTACATAGACAACTCGGGCTCATGGTATCAGTCTAACTGTTAATTGTTAGATATAACACAAAACAGTTCAGAGGGCGCTCTGCTATGTATATTAACGCCTCGTAACTTTTGTCGAGTGCAGAAAGAGTCTAGTGGCCCACCTTATAATTGGTTACATTAGTAACCAATAACAGAACTTTAAAATGCAAGACCAAAGCGGCACAAGCTTTTTTTAAAGTCGTTGCAAAACCTCTGTGATCGTGTGGAGACTTTTGAAGGAGGATTCCTTGTTCTGCTTATCAAAGGATGGTCCCGCTATTTGCGGCTGTGATTTCATTCAAACCGACAAATGCACCATTACGGTTCGTTACATTTTCCCTTCCTGTAGGCTGCATGAAGCCCTGTAAATCTACAGGTAAAACCGAATAAACAATTGAACCTGGGTTTCCCGCGGGACCATTTTGTGATGTGCAGAACATGTGGGCGCTGTAAAAGAGGGCATATACTTCTTTTTTGCTTCTCAAGAGCGCGGAAGATCTTTTTTCTTTACAATACCTGCATTAAATAAGCCGCCAACTTATGAGAATCAAGACAAACGTCAATGTGTGAATGTTACATTGATTTATAATCCATCAAATATTTTCGCTCGCGCGCCATTGGTCTAAACACGTCACGTGATTGATTATGCCCCAGCTAAAACTGGGGAATATCGGAGTGATATTCACCATTTTTCAAAACTGCGAGTGTTGCGAAAAATATCTGAAGGATATAAACATAATAGCCTCCATTTGGCGCAAAAATATGTTCGGATATTTGTCCTTGAACATTATCTGTTGCTCGAAGCTCACAGTTTTCCTCGAGCTACGTTCTCGAGAAACTGTTCGCTTCTCGGAACAGATAATGCCCGCAGACAAATATCCGAACATATTTTCGTGTTACATAGAGGCCATTGTTTACATACCACCAAATTCTTAGAACTGAAATCGAAAGAAATTTAAGGGGTTTAGTAAAGAGAATTAGCATTTTATTATGCAATCGTAGTTGTCATAAATATAAAATCGAGCTTAATTAGTGAGTTAGGCTTATTTACTAAGAATATCCTGGTCTTTCTATGTTTTTACTTTTCCAAGGTCAAGGCAGTTAATCCCGTGAAAATGGTGAACAATGGCTTCCAGATTCTTACCAAGAATAGGACGTACACATTTGTAAGTTCTGATATAAACAGTAAGGTAACAAGTAAGAGGTATAACTGTGTGAACACAATAGCACACCCAAGATGTATGGAACCTAGCTGCGACAAAGTGAGCTAAGGTGCATTCCAGGTTTTTGAGATTCCAGTGGAACGCCTGGCGGAAAAAAAAAAAACAGTTATCGAGAAAGGGAGTAGAGGGTTTGAAGAAGGCTTTGCGATCCGAGAAAATAAACTGTACCATAGTCTAAAACAGGTTTTGTCAGATATTTGGCAATCTGGAAAAAAAAAAGAAAAAAAAAAACAGAAACACCAGAAGCATCGTACCTGTTCACAATAATCGCAGGTCACAGTTTTATTCCATGGAAAAGTGTAGCGGCGCGCGTGCAAATTGCCATGCAATTCTTTGCCACACAGCCGCGGTATTAGAAATTGGTTCTACAATGAGGCGACTAAATCACTTCCAAGCTTGAAATTAAATAATTCACTCTAAAATGTTTTCGAAGATAACCCAAGAATTTCTCTCTGTACGTGAGCCTACAGCAGATAAGAAGAGGATAAGGGACCCCACGAGGCGAAGAAAGCCTCTTGACGCCGTCGAGTTCAAAAGAACCCAGCGTCTCTGTGGGCAGACAGTCGAAGTTTAGGCGAGTTGACTGTCCCTCATAGAAAACGAGGGCGAGTAATGTAATTGTTTTACATGTAGCCGACAGGTGTAGGTAATTTTTAAGGCAAAAGTCTAGACTAACTTTCCTTTTAGAGGGAATGCGAGCGCACTCGGATCTCCTGTCGCCGTTCAGTGAATAGTTAACGACATTAGAACCTGCCAGATTTGTAATGGGAACACGACGAGAGTGGGAAATGGACGTTTATGTCACGAAAAGTAGTGAAAGTGAAAAAATGGATCGTGCAGTTTTATAATTCGAAGCCGAAAACATTTCAGGAAAGTTCTCAGTGTAGATGAATTACATATACTGAGGTGGGATTTTTTATGACTTTTCAGTCTGCTCCTAGTCCTGAGTTACTCACAGACTGGGTGAGTGTGTTGAGACAAGCGATGCAACTGAAATCCTTTGAGAGGCGTAGAAGCGAGGCGAGGTAAGAAAGACTGAAGACATCATCAATAATCTGAATGGAAACTGTTAGAAAATATTGAATGACAAACAGTACTCAGTAGAACCAGATATTATTAGTCAATAGCTTTCTATAACTTGAATGGTCACAATCTAGTGTTATGGGTTAGTACCACCTCGCACAACATAATAAACAGTACTACTTGAAAATAGTGCTCAGTAGCTTTCATTTGAATGGTCACACACTTGGGTTTCATCCTCAGAGTTCAAATTTAGAAAAAAATGTTAAAAAAATGTAAATCTTATCTATATTGGTCATGCACTTAGCTATACAAGCACTAAGCTTGGCTAGTTTACAGGCATGCCACTGCAACAAAGGAAACAAATATTTCAAATAAACGTAACATAGTTAAAAATCCCAACTGACAGGAGGCAGACCAGTTGGCTATTTACAAAGCGGGACCGAGGATTTGAACTCGGGACTACCGAGAAACAAATCCCGCTAGTGGCAGGGTGGTGGCCTTGAACCCGGGACCTCCGGATTACAACAACAGCGCCCTAAACCACTCGGCCACGCTGCCTCCTTATTAACAGAATAACCAGTAACATATGGCACTATTGTTTAACAACACTTTTATTTGGATGACCACATTAAACTAAATTGGTTTCATCCACGGTTTAGACAATCAGTCATGTAATGATAAAAATGTTTCTCTGTTGCGTGATTGCAGTTCGCTAAGTTCCACCGACTCTCAATACGAAGAGGTCAGGACCCGGCCAACTCGAAGTATGAGTTCTGATCAAAGCTTCGACGAGGGCGATTTACCCGACGATCTGTATTCATCTGTTGGTCCACCCGGTGGTGTGAAGTCTCCAGCGCAACCCACTCAAGACCCGGGAGAAATGTACAGTTTGGTTGGTGCCCCAGGGGTCGTCACCTCGACGTTGCCGAGGACAACAAAAGATGGAAGTGATGCTGCAATGTACGAGCTAGTTGGAGCGAGACCACCATCGAAATCTGCGCCACCCACCTATGAAATGGCTCAATCTGCAAAAAAGACAAGCTCACCCCCGAAGACCACACCTGAGAACGCGCAAGAAACGGCGGAAAGCGCAGATCTGTATGAAAGTTCTCCCAAAGTTGAAGAAGACACTAGAGATATTTATTCTTTGGTTCAAGAACCGGGCGGTAATCCACAGACAAGCCAACAGATGCGAACAGGAGAAGACGAAAAGGAGAAACCACCTGATGTCGTCTCCGACCTTTACAGCTTACCGAACATCAACAGGAAGCAAAAGCAATCAGTACGAGGTCTCTCAATCATATCGGAGAACCCAGAATGTGGTGATGAGCCTTCTCCCGTGTCTGACCCCGAGGAAAGCGCCCCTCCTTTGCCTTCCAAGATTGAAGAATCGTTTGCTATCGAAGAGATAAAGCGATTTTTAGAAGAAACCAAGCTTGTGGAAGAGGAAACTGAGCAAACAAATGGAAAGAATTTAGAAGAGGAAAACTTCCCAGATCAAACTGTTTCTGCGATGCAACAGCTGAAGGAGTTTTTACAAAAGCTTGATTCGACTGAAGCGGAAGAAGAATAGAACCGTGTAGAAGAGTTTAGTTAATCGCAGAACTTCACGTTTTGTTCCAGTTTGTATTTTCTCTTTGTAGAAAGAGACAGAGCTAGAAATACAAAGTTATTTACACTTAGCACAGTGCCCAGGCATGAAAGAGAACTTATGCAATGGCTTTAACCAGTCAGAGCAGTCATGCAGTGTTCTTAGCCAATCAGCAGCAGCAACTAATCGTCGTCACTTGGCTTTCGCGTGTTTCCCGCGCTTAACGCGGGTTGCGCGATACTACGTCGAATTCTAATTGCTCCATTGTGTTGTTTGCTTTGTTTCAATTAGACAGGTGTTATGACGTAGATTATCGTTTTATAACAGTGTCTAGAAATGTCGTTATTAAGTACTCTGAGACTAGAACACCACTATAACGTACCATAGTGGGTAAAAATACCCTAGTTCGTACGTACAGTTAACTCCTTAGCATTTAACTGGCTCATTTTAATGTACATGACTGTCTCTAGAACGGAGAGGTGAAGTACATGTTGGTAATTCGCTAGCTGTTTGATTTATTTTTGAGGTTCCTTGTGATGAGCTCCGTTTGATGTCAACAATCAAAATATGAGAAATGAGAGAGGCGGCATCGACACAGCGACACGCCCTGACGGGAATTACAAAGTTGCCATGGATACAGTCTTCCCTCGTATTTACAAGATTCTGATTGGTCAACTCAAACGAAAACCATTGCCAAGCTGTCAAAAAGGTGATCAAAAACAACGGTGCGGCGCGCATGACTGTACTGATCATTTTGTAGTCAACCGCTGCCCTATACGAATTTTCGTATTTATCATTGACCAAAATAGCCTTTGTTATAAGAAGTAGTATTTGTAGCGCGTTAAATATTGTCATGAGGTATTTCAGAGTCCGTATTTAAGCACATAGCTGAAGAGAAAAGGGATATATTTGTGATTTTACCTATAAAGCAATATTTTGATATTTAACTTGAACGACATGTACTTTTTTTCTATTTTTTCTAACTTTTGTTTGTATATATTAGTAAAAATATATTTTGATCTTCATGTTATTGGACTTTGTACTGATTGTAGATTTCCTGGAATAGATACAGAGTATTTTGTCAAGCTATTTTGTATATTTTTGGAATATATAATGATTGTAGATTTTCATGAATTGAAGTAAACTATTTTATTGTTGACGGCAATAAAGATACTGTTTTAAGTATGTTTGCTATTTTTTCCAAACCAATAAAATTTGTTACCGTGAAATTACGAAAGTAGTGATAAAAAAATTGTGGTTGCTTGCAAATTCCGAAAGCAGCGAACCTTTGAATGAAGCGACTCGGCTAACGTGCCGGTTTACATCGTCAGGATTGCCACCCAATTCAGGTCATGCGATGATTCACTGGAGGGGTTGCAATTGTTCTATTTGTACATATTCCCATGCAATCAGTTGTGTGCGGCAATTAAATTACACAATTGTAATCTCCAAAATGAATCATCACTTGGTCTGAATTAAGTAGCAAGGATATCAACACGTTAGCCGAGTTCGTCTATTATAGAACGTTTTCACTTAGGTGGCCAACAACCATGCAAATTTATTGGAACAAAAGGAATTGTTTACATAAGAAAAGAGTTCAACTCCCACAGGATTGGTTTGGTACACCAACATGGCTGCCGTTACATTGTTTTGGTACACCAGTGTTGATGCCGTAATGTCATGTGAAAACACTTTATACTCGACTCAATCCGTGAGAACCAATGGAAATAACAGGCATAGCGAGATTTTTTATAATTAATTTAACAAATTGTTATTTCTTTAGAACAAAGAACAGAAAGCTGAACAGAAAAAGTCATCTGATATTTGTTTCAGATGACCCTTATTTCAAAGGAAACAAATTATGGATACCTTCTTTGCAAAAAGAATTATACCTTTCATCTCTCTCTGTAGAGAAATATATATATATATATACAATGTGGGAGGAAAAACACAAATAAACTACAAGTTCATC